TGTGCCATCTCTCTTGCAAGGGTTGAGGTCCTACCTACACAAGGTGGTGGTCAGATCGGCCAGATCGGTGAACGAGTCAAACGACACAGTACGTATCCGAAACAACACCATTCCTACGTTCTGATAAAGTAGGCAGTCGGCTCCGGATGTCACGCACCGCGGAACGCGCGGTACATTCAAGCGGCACGGTTCACGGCAAGGATACCCTCGTGTCTAGACACGCCTCGCCCACATCGTTGAGCGGGGATCAGTCGACCTCGTCCGTAAAAACCCACGAGAACGTGTGTGGATGTCAAGTATATGGTGCTGCCGGCGATGGCGAAGCAGCGGCGTCATGCAGAGCCCGAACCGTGCACCGTGTTGTGCTGCTCCTTTTTCGCTTGCAGCTTCAAGGCAAAACTGAAGAGGGGCGAGCATGAGGAGGGAAAGGGACACCGAGGAGGAAAGGGCAAGGGGTCCTCTACTGTCAGGACCCGGCGAGATCTATCAGGAAGAATGGCTGGCTCGAATAAATAGTCGATCGCCATGTAGACGACAAGAACAACACACGAAATGGTGATGGCATTTTCCGCGGGCACACAACGAACCGCGCGAAATTTGACGCGAATGACGGTTGTGACGCATGATATGAGATTATGTACAATAAACCCTGTCCTCGACCAGTCCAGCTCACAAGCACTCCCGGCTGCGCCAGACACAACAATACGAACGTTTTGTGCAGAATGTCGGTGACGGCACTAAACTACGCAACCACCTGCTGTGGAGCCTCAAATCTGGCGAAAGCACTATCGCATAGCAGAGGGGGTAGGCACTATCCTCATGCATCGGCAGCACTCACCGCGGGTTGACGAGCGACTGGAAAAACGCCTTGATGGTGGCAACGAAGGAAGGTTTTCTTGGGCGCCTTCTTAGACTTGGACGCTTTGGAGCTCTTGCTTTTAACCTAAGGTTCCTTCCTCTTCATCGACAGACGACAAAAAAAGCGTCGAGAGAAAACAACACGTGAACGGTCGTCGGTAAGGCCCGAATAAAACTTTCATAACCGTCGCGGGGCACCCTGATGCTGGATAATATGCCGGCAGTAGATCAGTGCATCGAGGCTAGTGCGTCGGTCTGGAGCACACGGGCCGGCGCGGGGGGGTTGATTCATACGCATGATACAAAAACATAACTTCCCCCTGCGCTGGTGCAGACTACTCGTGCAGACAACATGCAAACAGTGTTGTGCACATGGAGGAGGGAACAAGCCCAAAACTGGACACTCGTACAAGGGTAAAGATAGGGTTACCGGTTCTGTACATCCACGTTGGCTTCTTCAGCGCTTCTTCAGCGCGTGTCTGTATCTCTTCTCTACTGCTGTTGTTGCTCCGAAAACACTCCCGCACAAGCGGACATCCACATAACCTATCAACCCGTTTCATCTCTTCGCTCTTGACGGACCGGGTGTACAGCAGCGGCGTCAGTACATCATAATTTCGGTTACGTAACAGCATGAAAGATGTGTTTTGCGTTGTGCCATCTGCCCACTTTTCTCTTCAAAATACACAACAGGACACACATGTGCATTTAGGTCAGCACCCCTCCTCTCCTTGCTCTCGGTTTGTGGTCATAGGAGAGATACGCCCCCATGTATGTCTGTCGCCCGTTCGGTGTCTCTCTCCCTCTCTCTCCCTCTTCCATCTCTTTCCCCGCAAATCATCTCTCGTCCTCTTTCTCTCAACAACATAAAGCAATCAATCACGTCTCCTTCGGCGGGGAGGATGCCGACACGCCCGCTGACATCCGCCTCTAACCTTGACGGACGAGAGGGAAGTCACTTCACAGACCCCATTTATGAAACCTCCTGTGGTACACGAAGGGGGGGCTTGTTTTGTGACATGCTCCTGAGATAGCGCTGAGAGATCCACTATGCACTCACGAACGAACGAACCCACGGCCGGCCTTGACCAAACTATTGCACGCCCTGAGCGTGCTTTCGTGTTGTTTGCGGGCACACGCCCTTGGAAATCTGGGGATGTAGCCAGCTCTTTGCTTGATGCAAAAAATGGCTTTTCCTCAAAAGGGTTCCAGTGCCAATAAAATAAGGAAGTATCCTTCGAAGTGGTATGCATGTATGGTAATGCGCGTAGTTGCAAGGCCGAGAACCAAAAGAGCACCCTTTTGATGCGAAGTCAAAACATGCCCTACTCCGTACAGGTCCGGCACCACCAAGACAATGGGGAGATATGAACCGGGGCTTCGATTTTCACGATAAGCGAGAACTTGAATCCTACACACACTAAAACCTGTATGTTCCCAAATGGTTGTCCCAAATGACCAAATAAGGAGCGACGACGGCGCAAAGTGTAACAATGAAGACGAGTTTCTAAACTGTGGACAAGTTGTACCTCACGACCCACGACCAGAGGGGAGTCAACCCGGCCTCTGCCCACCTTTTTCGACCCCGTCGTCTTGCCCCCCCTGAGATCTACCACCGGCCCGTCCACAACCTGCTCCATCTGGTCCATCGCGGCGGCGACCGCACTCTCTCGCCCCTCCGACAGGGCGCCAGCCCTTCGGATGGAACTGCATTCAGAGCATCGGCGATAAACGGCTTGGTTGTCAGTTGAACGGAACGTAAGTGATGGACTTCACGACATCCGGGGCAGCCTGCACCTCTGGCAGGGATTGGGGCGTAGCCCAAAAGGTGACGCACTGAATTGAAACCAACGCCCAGTTGCGGTGCAACCGAGGGAACCATTATTCAACAAGCCTGTCGGCGGTGGTGTGGAATTGACTCTGGTGTGCTGTTAGTGCTCTGCTCGGCAAGGATCGTCTTCCGCGCGGAGGGATGGTGGGGACTGGCGAGTGGGAACACGGATTGCCGCGCCGCCGGCATGATCTCCTAAGGCCGTAAACAAGAAGCCACCGCCCGGTGTACAACACTCATTCTTGAACATTTCCTCGTCTTCATGGAGTTGCTGGACTACAGCAGTACTGCTGTACAGCAGTAGGTTCAGGGGCTGTATGTTCTCCCAGAGCGCCAAGTGGCAAGGCCATCCGCATATCCCCACTCATCGTCTTTCGATCTTTTCGGGGCAGAAGGGCACAGGGAGCACACCAGAAGCATAGCACACAGCAGCCTGGGGTACCATATCACAACTGCCCTTCCAGCAGACAATGTTTCGGTGAGCATGACTCGGTGATGCCCGGGTGCTGAACGTTCATGCGATAGGTGAGTTCGTTGAACAGAACAACAGCAGCAGTACACGGCGTCCTCTACCACTCCCGCACCTTTTGGAAACCACTAAAGCATGTGACGAATTCAACGTCGCAGCAGCGTGGCAGCAGATGATTGCTGAAGACACAGTACTCAACCTCATCATGCTGGTGTGGCTCTTGACGGTGATGTGGTGGTGCGGACAACTACGCATACATGCATGTGTGGAGGCTGGTGAAGGCGGCGCCTGGGAATCTGCCCTCGAGGGTAGAGCGGAATCGGCCTGCCCTCAAAACGCCTCTGGAACCAATCCGAATTCCGAACACACACACAGCAACTGTCCCACACACAACGGCACAGCCTTTTTGAATCCGAACTCCGAACACACACACAGCAACTGCTGTCCCACACACAACGGCACAGCCTGACACGCAGCAGCAGACCAAAGGCGCGTACCGCGACGCCTGATAGACCCTCAGTAGACCACCACCCGATGCATGGAGGCTACACATGGTGCTGCCGCTTTGGCGAGCTCTGCTACAAGTAGCTCGCCCATTTCTTTGGGTGCGTTGGGTTTGACCTCGCGAGGCAAGGCGCTGGCGCCGAATCGAGAGTCCGAGACGCATGGGGAGGAGACGCGCGGTGAGGAAGAGGACATGATAGTGGTAGACGACGAAGAAGAAGATCTTTCCAACTACAACGGAGCGAGACTTGGCGGTGGCAACGCTTTGCTTGCTCTGACTAGCGCCCCGCTCGGACCGATTAGAGCCCCACCCCCACCGATTAGCGCCCCGCTCGCACCGATTAGAGCCCCGCCGGCTCCAGCTAGCACCCCGCCCGCTCCGACAAACACCTGTCCTGGAGCAGCTCCACAAGGCAGCCAAGTCCAGTTGAACAGATCTCAAGGTGTGTCAGAATGTTGGCGTACAACGTAGTTGAACAGAATGAATATGTTGGCCGCCTCTATATAATAGCCAGATACACATCGTCTGTTGTCTGTGGTACACACATAGACTATCTATCACATATATAAGTGAGTGGATTGAAGCGAACACGGATGGTGCATGTTTTCATCTTTGATACGCGTACAATGTAGTATGTACAATACATATATCAGGGACGCCGGTCTTCGGCTCTTACCGCGCATGTGCAATATGGGTCGCCCTTCCTCCTGTCGGTTGACGTTTTGTGCAGCAGAGGTGTCGCGGCAAAAGGAGGAGCTCCTGAACACGGCGTTTCCCTGCGTTGAAGACGCAGAGGGGGAGGACCCCGATGAGGGCACATGGCGAAACGTCGAGAAGGTCATCAAAGGGCACTTCGGACCCTACGTGATCGTACGGCGAAACACGATGAAGGTACGTCAAGGTGCAGCTAGAAGTTTTCATTCCTCACTAACTGTGATCGGTGATCCACAGCAGGCTGGAAACGCTTGGGTTAGACCCTTCGCCCTTCTGCGTGCACTGGTGGCTCGTCAACTGCCAGCTGAACAAGGGCATGCGCACCTGGTGCGTGTACCCACCGAGGAAACTTGGCATGTTCGCGTACCTCCTACAACGTAAGATTCCACGCCGTAGATTCCATCCCACCATCATTGACACATGAAAACCCGTGCCGCTGCCCTCTTGCCGCCTTCCCAGGTTTTCGCTGGACCAGCCGACGGTGTTCGGAAGAGCAGGTGGAGACGCGTGGTGTTCGAGTGCGAGCAAAGTGGTAAACCGGACACCAAGCCGGGAACGACCAACAAGACGACAACATCGAAGAAGGTGCTGTTCGGTAGTGATTCGATGTTGAGCAGAGCTGGCGCCGATGCTGTTATTATGTTTGTTCCAGGCCTGTTCGCTCGCTAATGACCGGGAAAAAATCGTGGGTGAACCCGACAACTGCAACCAACCGAAGCAGGCACCTGATGAAGAGTTCCCACAATGGTCGCAGACTATACTTCGTGTACATGAAGAATATTTCATATTTCGTACATATGTGTTAATGTTCCGTTTTGATGCGTTGTTTGATATATGCCATTGGAATGAAACGCCCCGGCGCGCCCGTATGTCCACCCCGTAAGCACTGTGTTTNTTCCCACAATGGTCGCAGACTATACTTCGTGTACATAAAGAATATTTCATATTTCGTACATATGTGTTAATGTTCCGTTTTGATGCGTTGTTTGATATATGCCATTGGAATGAAACGCCCCGGCGCGCCCGTATGTCCACCCCGTAAGCACTGTGTTTGCTCTGGAATCCCTACATTCTACAATTCTTCTGGCACTCAAGGCACGCGTCTTTTCTCAACATCCTGTTTTCCTTTGCGGTGGTTTTACGGGAGACGGTTTTTATGTGCTGTCCTTTCAAGTTATTCTCGCTGTCTCTCCTTTTCGTCGGCAAAGCACATCGAAAAGGCGTGCTGTGGTTGCACACTTGAATCGCTATATAGTACAATNTAGTACAATGAGTGTGTGTCGGGGTGATGGAAGACAACCGTCTGTGCTGTCGTCTTCCTCTGTATCACCCCGAAAAGGCTGTAAATGTGTATTCACGCTCAAGCTCCCATGTGTGTGTCTTGGCACAATGGTGTTGGTTCGCGTAAAAAACAAACGACGATGCCCGCGCTGACAGATAGCTTCCCCCCGCACAACGCTGTCAATGCACATATTTGCCGTCGTGTATATGACTCCCAGCTGGACTGCAAGTTTTTCCTGGCGGT